AAATTTATTAAGCCAAAAATCTATTGAAAATATATTTAAATTCAGAATTTAAGAATAATCTGTGGTAAATTTATGTCCTGAAGCATACAAGATACCTTCAGCTGACTCAACAATGACTAATAAACTATTACTGATACAATGTGGAATAATTAAAAACAATAGTGATAAAGATAAAAAGAAATGTGATAAAATGTTGAATGGGATAGGTTTAAATAGGTTAAACATCTAAATATACAGTGGCATGATTATATTGAATCAATTGCTATTGTTAGGAAAGTTTTTACAATTTTTCTTGTAAGAATCCATCTTGCATATTTATAAATTTACCATTTGTCCATGCATTGAATATTGCTACCATATCTGGTTTGATGCTTCTGCTATATATCTAGGGATTCTTGACAAAATCCAACGAAGGATTTGTAATGTAATCCTTCATAATGTAGCATCTCAACTTCAGTTATTTTCCCACCCCCATGATGTGGCTTCCTCTGTCTTTTCTATAAATATTTTCATGGGGGTTGTTCTAATGAGCTTTCCTCCTTGGTGCCTCGACTATCTGAAGTTAGGTCTCACTGTTTTACTGTTGAACTCGCTACATGTAATTAAGTTCTATTCTAATAGTTTCTTTTCTCACCTGTGGAACCCTCTTCTGGTTTCTTGCTTCGCTGCCACCTACAATCTTCAAAAATTTAAATGCAATGTCAGTCACCATTTTCTGTCTTCCTGAATCCTGTTCTTTTATTGTCCTTTCTCCTCACTAAAGTCTTCTCATTCTCTTTCACTCCCAGTAACCCCTTGTGTCTTAGTGACATTATCGCCTTGCTTGGGGTGGAATAATTTTAAGAAATGTATATATAACACACAAAATGTGTTATGCTATGCTTTTGGCTTTCCTTACTTATATGTGATAAAAACCTGCTTAAATTTATGAGAGTCTCATGGGATAGCTGAAGTACAGATGACCAAAAATGACAAAATTTGATATTACCCACAATTTTATTTATTCACTTTTTAATGCCATGCCTATTTAAGATGCAGACAATCATGGCTCTCCATAGATACTGTTCATGTGGTCTAAAACATCATCTACATTTTAAAATTAGTTAATATACATATTCTGATTAGAATTGTATAAACTGTTCAATTTAAAAAATAACAAGCTTTTTATGCAAATAATTATATACACACAAATGTAAACATATGAATATTAAGTGCTTATAGATTTGGCATGTTTGCATATAAGAGGATTGACTTTGCAAATAAACAAATTAAATTATTGTCATGAATTAATCAAACCAACACCCTATCTGTTTATATCAAGTGAATATGGACTGGTAGTGGATTTAAACAGATTTGAAGAGATTAGTGTAGCCCAGGGACCGCTAATCCTGATTAAAGTTATATATTACTAGATTTTTAAAAAATTAAATCAGTTTTATTGATTTTACTATAATTTAGGAATGTGGTTTATTTAATAATACGACTCAGTAACCTTTTTTTTTCTGCATGTGTTCTGTATTTCCTGGTATAAAGGACACACCCCAATTTTGAAATTTTTTTTAATACTAATATTCACCCAATACTAGACCCAAGAGCCACTCAGAAGGTTACTGTGTGAAGTTATATTAGTGCAGGAAAGGACAACTGTTAGGAGCATAGAACTGAAATAGACTTTAGAAATTCAATTGGAAACCCAATTCAAAACAGGGAATAAGGGATAAACATCTAGTCCTCTTTAAAAGGCTGGGAAGGAGTGTGAACCAGATGACAGATGAACCTACACCATATATATATATATATATATATATATATTATGGGTGTGTGGCTGAGTGTTTAGAACATTTGCTTTCTGACCATAAGATCCAGGGGTTTGAATCTCACCACGATTGATTTTTCAGGAAGTAGACTTCCTGATATTATCCTTTTGGAGGGGGTGATCCCTGCTTTCAGTACCTTTGGAAAGTGCCTGAAAAACCATACTACGAGTTGACCCAAGCTTTGTAAGTGAAATTGGGTAGAAAGAACCATTGATAGCTGTGCTATCACGAAATTACAAGTCATCGTGACCGAGGTTTTGAGTATGCTGGCCTTGTTCAGATTGTTGATCATGCTAGATAACATGCTCTCTCCCAGAAAGTGTAACTAAGGTCTGAGCATAGTTGCAGTATAAACCACAGGTTGGCTCTGTGGGTGTTGAACAAACACACATGTGCCTGAGTAAGCATTTGCAATAGGGATTGACTAACCGCTATAATAGACATGTATCCTCAAATACGAGTGGTCAGCTATTATATATATATATATATATATAAAATAATAAACATAAAATAATCTTTGACCTGTAAGATACTAAGTAAACTTTTAAAATTTGGGGGGGGGAGAATAAAATGCCATGTTTGATACTGGGAAACAATCTGTTGCATAAAAAATCACAGGGACTGACATGTCTACACCAAAAACAATACCCTGTCCGGTGGCAAAAGCTGCTGGTGGCTCTGGGGGTGGCAGTACCACCTTAGCCACCAAAACTGTGTTACCTCCCCTGGTTGGCAGCTCATGAGGGCAGGGTATTGCATATGCTTTCACACATTATATGTAAAAAAAAAAATTAAATAAATAAAATATGCTATATTTATGGAGGAAGAGTGCTCAATATCAGTGAGAGTATTTATAGATGTAGACAATGTGGACATGGGAATTAACACTGCATAGTGACTGTCAGATTAATGTCATAATACAGTCTTCATTGAGGCATGAACCTGACTGTCACATGCAGTGTTGCTTCCTATGTCTACAAACTGTCTCTCTCTGAAAAGCACTTAGAGGCCATAAGATGAAGCAGTGGCAACAGACTTGAAATTCAAACTTTTACTTAATTTAGTTTTGCTATGCTAACAACCACAATGCCTCTTTAACTTCCCCATAAAATAAAGTCTAATTATGAAACAGTATTCTTTGCTTTAATTAAATTATTTCAATGATGTACAACTTTGTCTATAAAACAAATCAAGAAAAGTTCTTAGAATTCTAAAAATAGATGAGAATAATGCAGCTAATGAAATGCAGACGAACTCATAAGATGTTGGTAGTCATTTTATTAGGATTTGTATTTCAAAAAAATTTTTTTACTAATGTTCACCCAACACAAGACCCAAGAACCACTCAAGGTAGAGGATTACTCTGTGGTGATGTATGACCATAAGAAAGGGCAAGAAGCGAAATTCTTGGAGGCCATGTAGGAATTATAATGGTTAAACTCTTGACTTGAGGAGGTCAAGATTTAATTTGTGAATAACATTTCAGAGTTCAGCCGGAGACGTTAGAAGTATCATGTGGAAGGAGACTTTAGAAGGAACAAGAAACCTTATCCCAAACAGGAAACAAGGGATAAACCTCTACTCCTGTTTAAAAGACCAGGAAGGTGTGTGAAACAGATGATAGGTGAACCTATCTACTCCCATTAAGAGAGGAAAAAAATTCAGTTGGAGACATTATAAGTATAGTATGGAAGTATCTTCTAGAAGGAACTAGAAACTCAATCCTAAATAGGAAACCAGGGATAGACCTCTACTCCTGTTCAAAAGGAGGAGTGTGAACCAGATGATAGGTGAACGTATCTACTCCTATTAATTTTTGATGAAGTATGCATTTTTATATAATTGATACAAACAAAATAAATGCTATAAAATCCTTGATGCTCTTTCTATATGCATGGTATCAAAATGTTTTAAATATAAACGAGTAAAAAGAAGAATGTAATTTGCTAAAATGCAATGTCAGGACAATAGATTTGATTTCAAGATTTATTCAGAAAACTGAACACATTCTTTGTTACTGATACTGTTACCACAACATTTTGACTACTTCATTCTACAACCTTCTTCAGGTTTATCATCACTAAGAAAAAAAGAATTACTTTGTTGAAATTAACTAAACCAGATTATTTAAGATTGCATCAATATCTGTAGCTGAATTTTGATTTGAAAGCTTCATTATATAATGATTCATATGGGCAATTAATGTACACTACTGCAAAAAAATGTAATAATAAAAAAAGATAATTTCTGTCTGTGATAACAACAACAAAGATGTGGACAACAGTCTGCAGGTAAATAGTGTAAATAAAATAAAGATAAAAATAAAAAATAATACTAAAAAATATAAATAAAAATTTAAATATTTATCTGTTTTTCATTCATGTGTTTATGTTTGAAATTTTTTAGTATCATTTTTCTCCCAAACAAGAATTATAAGATCAATTTAGGACTTTTTTTTTAAAAAAAACCCACTTGTGTTATAATCTCTTATACAGAGAATAAGAACCCATGCATGCAGAGTTGCCAGTTTGGGTTACATTTGAAAGCTCAGCATTACTAAATTTGGAATTTTGCTACTTGCAACATTTTAAAAATAAGCTGAACTAATTTAGTATAAACATGAATAGAAAGTCAATGTAAAATTTAGTAAAATTCCTGAAAATTTAGCCTAATTCACATTTCTTTTTCATAAGGAGTTTATTTTTTAAGCAATTAGTAGTGAAGAAACTTAAACCAGCATGTTAACCACCGAATTAAGAACAAGTAGGCAATCAACAAATGCGTGGGTAGGGAAACAGATATTGGCATGCTGAATTCAAATTCTGGTCTAGTCTATGGTGTTCCCTTTCACATAAATACCCTTATGAAAAATGTGAATCTGACCCTTCTCTTTCAGCTATGGGTTAAATAGAAAGGTAGATTGGGTAACCATCAGTCAAAGTGAAAAATTACACTGAATTCCAAACTTTGGAGAAGGCAATGGGAAACTACTCCTGTCTTTTTCAACGAATCATAGCAATTATCAGGTAAGGAAATGGAATCAGTGGAGAGTCATAATTGCATCCATCCTAAAGAGATATGGCTTTTTTTATTTTTATTTTTTTTTTAATCAAAAATCATAGGTTGTATTCTATCAGTATTATGAAATCTTGAATAACTTAGTATTTTCCTTTTTGTCTAGCTTATGACCACATCACATTTAAACATCAGTTCCTGTACGATCACCAAAATTAAGCAATGTTGAGACTGGTCAGTACCTAGATGGGTGACTGCCTGGGAATACTAAGTGTGCGTGGGTAGTGGTAATGGCTTGGAATTGTTAATTGGAAGCCAAGTTTGAATTCCAGTTGGGTTCATTATATTCATTTATGTGCAATTACCCTTGGGAATGATATGAATCCATCTGTTCTCCCACTAGCGATGGGTTAATTAGTAAGACTTGTATCACTAAGCCATTATTATCTCTAAAAATAAAATTGCATACAAAATATTTAGATTTCAATTTTAAATAACCCATAGAGTTTGGTGTGCTGCTAAACAGGAACATCCAACAACCAACCTTGCATGCCTAAATTTAAAAAAAAAATGTTCTAATTTTTCAGGACGTTTTATTCAGAAAATTAAAACCTGTAAATGTTGAATAAAATTTATAAAAGCCTCATCAGACATCTTGAAAAAGTTCTGATGTGTTCATACAGACTTGCATACAGAAGAGTGTTTTGTACATTGTTTATTAATTTTTTCTTTTTTTTTGAAGATACTCAAACATAATTAGCTAATAGACTTGTCTGTGGCCAAAACTTACCTTTTCTTTGCAAAATTAATATCGTTATTAGTTTGATGTTTTTGATTTATGTGTTAAGATCTTTTAAGTCATTACATTGTTTCATATTTGAGTCACATTTTTTGTTCACATATTTCATGAAATAAGATTTAATTTTTTTTAATTTTAAAAGTAGCTAGCTTATACATTCCAAATAAGAAAAATCATAAAACTCTCTTCAGCTTTCTTCTACAAATGAAGATTGAATATTTGCCAATAAAAATATTATCAGTTTTAATTATCAAATTGGTATATAGCCTGAACAACCTTCTAAATGTTTATGAATTTTGAATTCTAAAATTGCCATTAATTCTTTTTTTTCTTTCCTTCTTTTTCAAATATCTTTAATTTCAGTTCAATGAAAACAAAAATCAAGCACACAAGAAAAATATTTATCTGCTACTTCAATGAAAATTTATCACAAGGTTTACAGGGAATGAAACCCGAATATATTTGGTCAGTGGCCATAATTCATATAGTTTCTTCGAAATTGTTTGTCCAGTAGCTGAAATCAATGACCACTGACATTGAGGCAAGGTTGCTTGTCCTAATAATTCTAACATTCATTGAACATGAAATCTGTTTTTATTTTCCAATATTCTCCATTTTCTATATCTACCAAAAGACATTTATTTGTCAAAATTGGCGGCAGCTATTTCTGATTAAACCAAATTTGAAATTTTGTAGTTTATTCATGTCAACAGCCAAAATATTTGGGTTTTGAATAAGTGGAAGAGCAAATCAAGATCTCAAAATATGTGCTTTGTAACTGAAGATTAATACCGTGGCATGGCTATAAAAAGGGAAATTGATTTTTATGACTGGAAGTTGAAGAAAGACTTCATAAAGAAACTGAGGAAGAAGAAATATGTTCACAAAAAACAGGATGTAGAGATTTTTTTCAAAAATATTTGCATATATAGTTTTATTTTTATAATTAATGAAATTTATTGTGAAGATAAATCATATGAGAATTATTTATTTTTATTTTTTATCAGAACTCTCCTCCAATATTTTATTTTGTTTTCAGATGTTAGAAAAAAAAATATATATATATTTTTAAAATTTTTCAATTCATCAATATTCTGTAACCATCCCGGTAAATTTTAAAAGTTACAGAATATTTTGAAGATTTTTTTAATTTTTTTGCAAAAATAAATTTAGGGTTTTAGATTTTGAAACATGGTTGAATTAGAAAAAAAATTTATAATATATACTATTTTGTAAAAATAAAATATCTATAAGAACACCGGATTTTATATCTTATATTTATATATATATATATATATATATATATAGGTAGGTACCTCCAAAGATTTGCTAAAAAATGAGCATACATGATGAAAAAAAATGCCTCATACTTAATAAAAGCAAAGTTTTATCATCAAAAATGTTCATTATTATTAAGAAAAAATACCAAAGGCCTTTTTTATTATTAAATTATATTTTTTGATCATTTTCAGAATGTTCAAAATTTTGGTTAAAATTTTTTTGGCATCAGCAGGAGACCATAAACTAGTATAGGAAATTTTAGCATCTTTTTTTTTTTTACAGTAAAAAATACATTGATTTGGAAATTCTTGCAAAACTCAAATAATTGTTGGATTTTAATGAAAATTTTAGGACTTATTCACAAATAAATGAAATCATTTTAGAAATATTTTAGATTTTTGTAAATACGGATGTTCATATACATCATTATCAGAAAATAAAAGTAACTATGTTAAATTAAAACCAGAGTAACTAGAATGCAATAAAATATTAGATTACTTATAATATTTTCCTAAATTTTTAAGATTACAGGGTAGCTAAAAATCAGCACTCATGGCCTGATGATTGCATCTAGCATGAAACAGACTGTTGCCTCTAAGTGTTGACTTCCATGTTCACTTTTATATTCTGAAAAGTTCTAAAAATGAACAAATGACAATACAATGGACCTTTTTTAACCCATAAATACGCGATATCATAAAACTATATTTTTACCATTTTATATATACATCCCCCACCACACACTCAGTTTTGAAATTTTTTTACCATAACATATTTTTGTGGATTGAAATTACATGTGTGAGTATGGTAGTTCAGTTCACCATGTCTTGAAGAAGACCCAAAAAGAAATAAAGTGGAAGAACTCACTAACCTTGGAGAGTAGAAATTTGCTAAGGGATATAAGTCATGTTGAGTTTGGAGTTCTTTCATTTAATTATATTTTTTTTTTATTTTAGGGATGACTCTAACAATAGTGCTTATATGATGAATCAAAATTTCTGATTAATTTGATCCCAGTTGCCAAGTTCAAATCAGAATTTTTATATGAAAAGTTTACAAATATTGTTAATTTTATCAATCATTTAAATGGGTATGCAATTGCTGTTATATGTTACAATAATTATATAAATCAAGCTTTTTACCCCCAAGAAAGTTGATACTGTTGAAAATAAACCTTGGATAACTATTTTGTTGGAAGGAGAATTCTTGCAGTTTCTAAATAAATTTATTGTTCCATAAACTATGAGAATGTTCCTTCCAACCAGATCAAAATGGTTAATATTTGCTTTTTCACTATGTTCATATACTGACAAGTATTTAGAATAATTGGATAAGTGAAGCTTGTTCAAAATTTATTTTAGAAGTTGTCTTAAAATGTTAGCATAAGTATTTTTTTCATATTTCATGAAATAAAGGTGAATGTGTGTAAAAGTTAAGACTATAAATATAATAAAAATACATGGAATAAAACCACAAATATTATCAAAACTGTTTCTCTGATTTTTATTATTCACTCTAGATGCAAGTTACAAATTCAAGATGTCAAAATCACACAAGTATGAAAATTTAACTATCTTGGAAGTGTTTCAAAAAGTAATGGAAAATGTGATACTGAATCTGAAGGCACATTGCTTCCAAAAGTTAAATAAAGTATTAAGAAACAAGAAAATTTCATTAGAAACAAAAAAAAATGCAAAACTGTGATGTAATATCAATTCTCCTATATGAAAGTGAATACTGGACTGTTTCTTCACAGATGAAGAGGAGGTTTGAGGCAATAGAGATGAAAAATGTTGGGAATACCATAGATGAAGCATGGGAAAAATGAGGAAGTTTTAAGGAAAAATGGAAATAAAAAGGATTTAAAATCAGGAAGAGACACATAATGAGGAAAGAGGCTTGGAGAATTTAACATGTATGAAATATTGAAGACAAGAGAAATAGTGAGTAACCTAACAAGCTTGTGTAAATTATGTGATGTGGACAGCAAAAAAAACCCAAACACTGCTAAAATCTACAAAGTATAGGAAATGATGGAAGGCCATGATCATACACACCCTGAAGGGACACAGTATATAAAAGAAAAATAAGAATTTTGTTTGTAAAATATTTTATGTTTTATTGATGAACAGTTTTGTAAAATTTGAAATCTCTTTGCTTTATACAGGTACATTTTCTTTGCTTTATGACAAATAAGGAGAAATGATAATTAATACTTAATATAAGGTAGAGTTGGTAATTAGCTAATTATTGAATGTCACTAATAGACTCTTGATAAAAAATTTATCATTAATTATAGATTAGTAGTAATTTGGGTATTCTCAGCATATCTAAATGATGTTGAGAATACCATGGACTGAACATGTGAGCAATGATGAAGTTTTAGAGAAAACAGAAAAATAAAATGGATACTTATATTTAATATAAGAAAGAGAGAATTGAAATAGGACACATAATGAAGAAAGAGATCTTAGAAAATTTGACACTCACAGGACATAGTGAAGGCCAGGGGAACAGAGGAAAGTAGAATATAAGCTACATAAAAGGACAGGAAGTTGTAGAGAGCCATGATCGCCAATGTCCTGAATTGACATGGCGCATAAAAGTAATTTAAGATGAAGATATTTTCTTCCAGTCAGAGAGACAAGTGATGTGCCTTTATTTGGGATAGTGTTGAGTGAAATCAATGACTATACTGCAGTGACTAACAAAATATCTTCTGAAATTTCTTTGTTGTGGCTTTTATTTTTTTTTTTTTTTGAAAAAAAAAAGCAAAAACTCTGGCAATAAATCAATCAGTGATTCAATCTCTAGATGGTGATGAAGATAGTGAAAACAATGATTGTCTTAGCATGATGTTTTGTCAGTCTAGTTTCATGTGACTAGGCAATAATATTTTCTAGTTTTAGGAAAGACAAAGAACAATCTTGTTTAATACAAAAGGAAACTATTGATATGAAGGAAATGATGTCTAGCAATTTTATGAGAGAAAGGTGAGTTCATTGGAATCTTGAATAACCTTCTTTTCAGTAATAAATATTTGATCGTCCTCTTGTTCCTGAGATTAGTTTAGTGTGGGAATTAAGTCATTGTAATTGAAAGACAATCTTATTATTTGAAATTCTTGCTTTATGGTGATTGTGTCAAATTGATCGACTCCAAGTCAGGTCTATTATGTTAATTGCAAGTTAGAAA